ACAACCCTGGCAAATGTGTTTATGGAGACTGAACGAGTGTGTGCATGTGCATGTGCGCGTCTCCATCCGGAAGGTTTTTGTTCGCGGATGCATGACGTGGCATGTATGCAATGCGCGTGTGTCCTACAGGTGCGACCTGTTCCCCACCACCTGTCTTTTAAACGAGTATGTGCATCTGCAATGCGCGCGTCTCCAGCGGAATGCCCGTATGCACATGTGCTCAAGTGCGCGAGTGTGTCGTCCTTGCATAGATTCATCTTGCGCAACCGATCAACCGCGCAGGCTGAAGATTCACTCCGATCTTTCTTAAGATTCATTCCGATCTGGGTGATGACTCATTTCGATCTGGCTGATGATTCATTTCGCTGATCGATTGTCTGCGCGGTTGATCGCTTGCTCAAGTTGACAGAAATCCATGGACGAAACACTCGCGCACTTGGAAATATGGTGGTTTGAACGAGATCGGATGGATGCTGCGCTAAATGGTTTGGGTTGAATGAAGGGAAGACGGAAACGAGTAAGGAGAATGGAGCGCTAATGTATTTGTTTTTCCGCACTTGAACGTTCAGTCAATAAATGTCAATCCCTGTTCAATCAATCAATGTCCCGTCCTATTGCTGTTCATCAATCAATCAATGTTAGGCGGACCGTTCAATCAATCAATGTCCCGTCCTATTGCTGTTAACTTCATCTCAGGTACACATTCCCATCTCCCCAAGCGCGACAATGCAAGTCTTTGTTTGTGTGCAGGATGAGCGAAATCGGAACGAATCCGATCGACACGATGATCAAAATCTAATGAATCCACGTGTGGAACATGATTGCTTTGGTTTATTGAGAGATTCCCATCGACACGATGAGCGAAATCGAACGAGCCTACGCCTGGATCGTTCATTCCACGCGTGGAGCGTGATTGAGAGATTTCCATTGATTGAATGGATAACGAAAACGCAAAACGAACAATAATTCATTTTTTCTTTTTCCACTCCAATCAGAGTTGTTCATCCAATCAATGAATGTCCGATCCGATTGCTGGATCGTTCAATCAATTAATCGGTTGGCTGAGAACGCGCGTCGATTTTGCTTATCCTGCCATTTCGACGCTCCAAGAGAAGGGAAGGACTTGCCTACGATGAAATGAACAGCAGTCGACCGATTGCTGGTGATTGCAGCGCAGGCAAGTCATTCCAATCGCCTAGAACTTGGCAATGTCAGTCTGTGTTTGTGTGCAGGTTGAGCAAAATCGGAACGAGTTCTCAACCAGCACATGACAATATATTGGCAAGACGGCACGTCCATCGACACGATGAGCGAGTTCGGAAGAATGGACTGTTAGTACATGGTTGATTTGATTGAGTGAATGATTTCCATCGATACGATTTGATTGACTGGAAGACGAAACCAACAATGAAGAACGGAGCGACACTGTCTTCTTCTTTTCTTTTCTGATCGTTCTATCAACGGATGTCCAATCCGCCCCCCACTCCCGCTACACATCCGCCCTGCAGTCGATCAATCGTTGGAAACTGAATGGTGTACAATCGGAACGACTGTTTGGTGGCCGACGGGGGTTCGATCTGATCGCTGGTTGAACGAAGATCTTGCAGCGGTCGATTGATCCTCGTCTGCCATCGAACCTTTGTCGGCCATCGAACCTCGTCGGCCATCGAACCTCGTGGGCCATCTAACCTCGTCGGCCATCGAACCCTGATATGGATTTGATAAAAAACCCCGCCACCCGACGAAGTCCGGATCCCGGCGAACTTCCCATTCCCATTCGCCCTCTCATGAGCCACTTGATTCGCACAGCAACGCAAGCCTGTCCGGTACCGCATGCGCATCAAAGGACCGAAGGCGGTATGGAAAATACTCGAAGTTTGCCAGTATCCGAACTTCTTCTGACGATCGATAACTAGACATGAGATTTTTGGAGCGTGAAAAGGCCGACGACCGTTTGGAAACGCGTCGAGTTCGAGTGCGGGCGAACTTGTGTTGTTGTCTTAATGTGCTAGAATGCGAAGTTCGCCGGAATCCGGACTTCAAGACACTGCGGGACCGAGAGCTCGACAGACCTTGTCTGCCTCTCTCACGCGCTCTCACGAAGTTATGGATGAGCCCTATGTGTGGCTCACCTGGTTGCCCTTGGATTTGAACAATAACCAAGTCCGCCCGTTTCCGAACTTCGAGGGGCCTCGAAATCCAGTCATCGACCACGCTTGCCCAAATCGGAGCTTCGGACGTCCGCCGCGTAGAATACCGTGAAACCGCCTTCTCGTCGGGCCACCTTTGAGACTGTGGTCGTCCTTGTGCGCCATGATTCCGAAACGCACGCAGGGACGGATATTGGCACAAACGTCAGGTGCGGATCCAGGCGAACTTCGCATTTCCGTATGATGCAGGTTCTTACTTGGGTGTTCCCTGTGGCCCGTTAATTGCATCAAGGACACAAGTTCGGATGTCGGCAGACTACCAATTATCGACCTTTTTCCAACGAGACTTCGGTTTCCCTCCTGGGCAGTGGAATTAAGCAATCGCTTCGCGTTGCTACGAACGTGTTGTGGCGGTTAGCTCTCTATCTCCCAGTCTCTCGCACCTTCTCAAAGTTAGGATCCCGTCGAACTTCGCTTTCCTACAAACACTTCGGTTTGACCGTTCTTCGCATTGCGACCGTGCATTTTTCGACCCGCGTCTATCGATGTTTTTTTGAATTGACTCGGAATAATTTCAATGCACAGACTTCAACTTTTCGTAGCTTCATCTGTCGGTTGTTTACGAATCAGGATGTTAATTGTGTTGTAGACAGGTGTCGCTAACATCACGTTTCCGTCTGTCATCCGCCCTGTCATTGGGCCGCATTCCCCTGTGCATGTGAAGTACTTGAAAGCGTGTGGAACCTCGTGAATATACAGTTTGTGACCTGCCGACTACGTGTAGGCGTGGCAAAAGGGAGTGGCCATTTGCCGACCCCGTTTACGACTGTGTGCGTGGCCGTGTGTTTCATTTGATATGTGTCCGTGGTGTGTAGGGTGCGTAATGGAAGGGAACTTCTGGACACCACGGATCATGCATTCAATATTCTCGACACCGGAGACCATGAGTCCCGAGACGCACATGCGCTTGGCAGAACCGTTTCCTCCTTGTGCGAAATCCGTGAGGCACTTCAACGGCGTGACTTCGATCCACGGAGCCACCAGAGAGGACTTCGAAGAGGACCCGTGGATGACCGTCGTCCCGTGCATGGACATGCATCTTGACGGTTGGCACGATGTCAATTGGGTCGTGATGGAGAGTCGATGCCCTTGGGCAAGCCAGTACAAGTTCGCCAACATGTTGGAGTTTGGAGACCTCATCACGCTGCCTGGCGCTGTCCTCGGACACAAGTTCTTGAGCCGTATGCGCAGAACACTGAGCTGCATTAGCCGCCATTTCAGTCGCCTAGAGTGTCGCTACGTCAAATTGTCGCCACGCGCGTGGACAGGCTCGAAAACAAGAGTTGCTGGACTGCGCTCGTCACTGCTCGTTCCTGGAGCACTACCCGCTCCGTTGCCCTGGTCTTTCTCCACAAGCTGTGTCTTACTGTTGTGTGAGGTTGACTGTATCCCAAACCGATTTTGCTAGAGTGCTGTGTGTCGCCACTTGTAACAAAAGTGGGAAACTCGTCAATGCAGTTGTGCTTGTGTCACGAAACGAGGTGGTAATTGAGGGGTCCAAATTCGTAGAAGCGCGCGGGCCAAAATGTGTAGATGGGTGGCCGGATCTCCTTATAGGAGGGCATGTCCAAAACTTTTCGTTGTGGCATGAAGTGGAAGAGAAAGTGTTTGACATACAGGACTGTATTGGGAATTCCTTAGCCCGATCGGGAGTTTTCGTTCGGATGAAATACATGTCCGTCTTTTCGGAGAATGCGTTAGTCAAAGAACCGCAGATCCACGTTAACGGATCTCCAATGAATGCTATGTATGGCTTCGGGTCACGACCTCGTCCCCGAGGGACCCCGAATGTAACCAGATCTAGACGGGTTGTCAGACCTCGTGCTTGAGTGCAAAAGAAGCGAGAGGTGAGAGAGGCAATAGTTGATAGTAGAAACTTTATGGCGCACGTGTGGTGCAAAGCCATCTCAACACGCTTCTGTCTGTCCTCCGACGCCGTGGCTTTCCTGACGCGCAGCTGGTTGCACTGAACACGAAAGTGCATAGCCTTCGTCACGCACATCGCGTCTCTCTCCAGCACCGGCCCTATGTTCGGATCCCGGCGAACTTCTGTCAGTTCGGTGGACCTTCTTGTTTGATGTGGGTCTGTTTCGAGCGGAGTTTCGCACCTCGCGAACGAAACTGCCCTCCGGCACGGTTTCTCGCGTAATGGCATTTGCACACTGTCTGCCAGCCTGTTGATTCCTAACGATTCACAATCACCATGCACAATTGTCGACCATTATGATGCTTGTAAGATAGGAAGTTCGCCGACATCCGAACTACGCGAACACGTCTTTCTCTGTCGGAACTTCATGCACCGTCTGCCTCGGATTCTGGTGGAACAAGGTCGGACCCTGTCACAATGGCCCATCAACATTTGTTGAAGTCCGCCGGAATCCGGACATCGCTCATGATACATATTCTCTGATGGTAGATCGATCTTCTATAGTAACCACATGTCCCCGCAATCTCTCGGCCTGGAATTTTCCAATCCGGAAGAACAAAGGAGGTCCGCAATATGAGAAACGCGCACAATCTTGACCTCCGATGGACGAAGTTCACCGGAATCCGAACTTCTAACATATGCTATAAAGAGTTCTAAAGCTGCCCGTTTGTACGCTATCTGTCGACAACCACCATTCCCCTCTATGTTGTTCGCTCGCCGCCAGCGCACCTGCTTTTCCCTTTGCGGTGTTCTGCTTTTCTACTTGCCTGGCTTGTAGTCCGCCGGTATCCGAAGTTCCCCATTTGCTGATTGTTGGCGGTGTTGTTTGTTTTCGAATGCATCCTCTGCTACGTCTGGTGCAGACACAATGTCTACGTCAAGAGGCGAGGGGCAGCCTACGGGGACCTCGGGGAGGGAGTCGACAAACGCAAAATCGTGGTCGAATCATGCGCACACGAAGTGGTTCGTCGATAGGTGCTTCGCCGAAGATGACGAGCCCATGAAACCGCCTTGCGGTCCTGTCATATTGGTGGAAGATAGAAAAGGACGAAGAGTGCTCGGCTCGGTCAAGGGATGGCAGCCATCGAAAAACCACGACAAGCAGTGTTACCTGATGCATGTCGTTTACAATTCGAAGGGCGACATTCTGGCAGGTGCGAAAGGGGCGATTCTCTCGTGGGATCTGTTCCAGGGGTTCGGTGGGGGGGCTTTGAGGACCCCTTTCTACACTGAAGTCGCGGAGGGAGGTCTTATTTCGGCCAGGGAGTCTTACGAGCTGCCGATACTAAAGCTCACGCCTCTCGGGCTGGTTAAACCGACGCCCGAGGTGCGGGCGGATCGTCTGAAGCCGGAGGACTGGAAGGACGAGCTGGCAGGGCAATACTACTACTACGATGTGGCGGGCCAGCATAACGCGGCTGCGGCCAGGGCGCTGCTTGGCACCGATGTGGCGGTGAGGTACAACTTCGAGCGCTTGCCTGCACGAATGGTGTACTTCTCGGACAATGACTTTGAGGGGTACTTTCTGGTCAGCGCCGAGGACAACAAGAAAGACCTGAAGGCCCCTCCGAGACAGCTGAAACTCTTCATGAGAGACATTCGGTGGTGTTGGAAGGAATTGGGTTACCCGAAAGTTGTTATGGGTAACCCCAACGGAAAACACGCGCAGGTGGAGGCATGGCGAAGATTTTGTGCGGAGGCGCTCCACAAGACGCCGTACAATCACTTGTGGACTCTCGCCGATGACAAGACCGAGCAAGGAATCAAGAAACAGAACGCTGCCCTTCGATCCTATTTCTCGCATGCGATAGCAGGGAAAAGCGCATGGGAAACCGGGATGGAATTTTTCGAGAGATGGGAAACGGGCAGACTGCTGGCATCGGAAGGAGCGAAGTGGATCGCGAAGAAGAAGAAGCTGCAGGGCCTCAAGCCAGGTGTGAGCCACATCGAAAACGAGAAGGACGGGTGAAAGGTAGTCGTCTACAATGTCCCCGTCGAAGGGCCACAAAAGAAAGGCAAGAAGGAAAAGGAGTCAGGCGACTGGTTCGTCCAGGTCACCGAGCCGGATCCGCACTGCTGGAAGAGCATGGAGGCCCTAACCGACAATGAGAAATGCTGGTTGTTGAAGAAGGTTCTCAACTGCGAGGTGGTCTCGGTGCAGACAGGGTCCTCCGCGTTGGCGAAGCAAGGGAAGCTGGGGATGCACGAGGCAGTGCAACTGGTGAAGTGCGATCGCATATTGGTGTGGTTGTGGAACTACTACCAGTTCAAGCATGAGAACCGGCCAGACAGTGACTGGACCACTAAGTACCCCTTCCTGAAAAAACGAGAGGCGATTTTGGCAAAGTTTGAAGGGCAGGGGCTAGATGCAGCGTTGTGGGACAGGAGCAGGAAACTTGTCAGCGACTCCTCCTTGTTCAAGGACTGTCCGCCCTACATGGGTTGCGAGGACGACAAGTCGATCAAGGCGACAGAAGAGCTAGTCCAAAACAAGAAGTTGCCCATCGACTTGAAGAACAAGGTCCTCTTCGTGTTGACCGGCAGCAGGTCGAAAAGCACGGAAGTCGCGCTGGCCGAAGGGATGGTGCACATTCTGTGGAACAACTCAAAGGACGTCACATCTATTGCCCCGTTCGGCGTTGACCCTCTGGATGCGCAGATGAAGGTCGTGGAGTTGGAGAGGGCAGTCGGAATCACGAAATGCCACACAAGCGTTCTCGACTTGTGCGAACCGGTGGATATCAAACAGTGGACAGCTAAAGTCTTCGAGAGTTTGAATGCCCTCCTGGAGCACTTGTTCCCCTCACACTGGACAGTAGTCGCGTTCGTCCCCCGTGAGCACGACTACTACTTCATGACCAGCCTGCACCATCTGTCCGTCATGAAGGCAATGGCTGGGAAGTGGGTGAGGAGGACGCAGCAGAAGAAAAGTTTCGGTGTCGGCCACAACTTGTACTCCTTGGACGACCGCATGTACATCCTTTTGAAAGGCGACGACTTGCGGGAGAACACATCTGTTGTCTACGACGCGAGGTTGGCGGCAGGTGATGCTGCCGCAGTGGGGGCACTTCAGAAAGTGACTCCCACTGAGATATCCGACATGCTGTTCGACGCTTGTGAACGGCCCGTTGTGATACATGGGCGTGATCCCGTGGTGTACAAGGGCCATGAGCGGAAACCCAAACAATTCGCCCGTCTGCTGGAATTCCTTTGCAAAAAGGGGGACAACATCATGTTCCTCGGGAAAGCGCACGCACAAGTCGTGTGGGAGGTTTTGAAGGGTGGTCGCAACATCATCGCGTTGGAGGGGAATTCGGAGTGGTTGCAATTCATGTTGGATTTCCTGAAAACCGCGGTCAACTCGGGAGCATACCGCTGCGAGTTCATTACAAAGAGTGAGAAGCCGAGACGCGTTTGGGATCCTTCAACGGACATGTGGTTCAAGCTAAGCGCCCGGAAAAGGAGCAGGATCTACGAGTTCCTCTTCTTGGAGAAGCGGCCTGCGAGGGGCACCGTCATCGAGTACACGCGCCGCAAGGAACACATGTTGGCGCTGCTAGACAACTATCACGGCGCCACGCGCCTGAACACGAAGAACTTCCTGGACCGACTGGAGTTATTTTACTTTGTCGAATCCGAGCCGGTCGTGAGGCTCGAGAGTTACTGTGCCTTGATCGACGCCGACGAAGAGTACCTCACCGGTGTTGTCTGCGACACCGGTGCACCTGAGGAGGATAGCGACACCGAGGAAATTGACATCGACTACCGCCTTGCTCCAGTGCTCCCATCCCCGGCCTCCTCGTGGGCGAGTCCCTCAACAAACTGGCCCGCACAAGCGACGCCCGTGCGGAGGACCCCTAGTAAGCTGTTGGCGAGATTGACACCTCAGCCTGCTGCGCCTCCTCCTCTGCGTCCAGGGTGTCAAGTCCCCCTGCAGCATCCTTCTCGGAAGGATGAGAACATCCACTTTGAAGGGCACGACCACACGCGTTCCACGGAGGCAGACTGGGGTCATGACATGATTTGGCACCTAGGGACAATCCAGCCCGCAATTCGGAAGGGGGAGTGGGTCATGGCCATAGTCGACACTGACGGGGAATGGAAGCCGTCCGAGCGCCTGGCCAAGTCCGACTACTTGGATATCGCGAGGAGTGCTGTGGTGGACAAAGTGACGTCAGAGAACAGCAACCTGCAGCCCGCCGACCCGGCCATCATTGCCACTGCTGATCGCTTGTTTCGGGAACTTCATGGCGAGCAGTGGTTGGAACTATCTGACGATTTCTACGACCTCGAGACGAGCCCTTCGAAGAAAAAGGTGAACTGGAAAGTACCCCCGTCGAGAGGGACCCAGGGTAGTGTGGGAGGAGGACCTCCGAGCCCCCCCGGGGCCGGAGAGGGGGGAGGCATAGGCCACGAGGAAGGAGGTGGCGGAGGTAGTGGCCATACGACATCAAGGGGAAGCGCGCCGGCATCATCGCCTGCCCCTGGCGGTCAGGGCAGGATCGCGCACAGCGGCGTGGGGGAAGGGGGGCTGAACGTCACACACTCCCCAACAGCAGGGAGCGGCAAGTCGGGGAAGTTCGCCCGCATCCGAACTTCGCAGACGGAGGACCCAGTGCCCGTGGAGGCAGCAAAGTCGGCCGGCATCCGCACTTTGACGACTCTGGAGCAGGCGGCCCTTCCCTCGTGGACTGCTTTCGGCTCCTCCGGTGAAGTGGGGCGGGGCTCATGTGCAGGGGATCCTGTCTCCGCCGTGAAGGGCAAGTCCGCTGGCATCACTACTAGGGCGGACGACGTTCAGGCGAGTGTACCGGTCCAGTGGAGCTCTACAGGAGCACAGGTGTCGGAGATGGGCGCCGCCCTGGCTGTGCGGGAGGCGACGCCGCCGGCCCTTCGACAAGGCCGATCTGCGGAGTCACAGAGAGAGATTGCTGGTGCAGCGCCGTCCGCCTTCCTTGCGACGAAGTCCGCCGGTATCCGTACTTCGTCCGTGACGTGCCTGCAGTCGAAGAGGCAGGGACGGTGGAAGGTGCTACGTCTGTTCATACAGACGACCGCTCCTTGGGATCCGCCTTGATGCGGCTGCAAGGAGCCGAGTCGAGTGAGATTGACGGGTGGGAAGAATGGGTGGAAGTCGAGGGCGGGGAAGAAGGGGAAGACGGTGAAGAAGGGGAAGACGGGGAAGAAGGGGAAGACGAGGAAAGGGTGGATGCCGGAGACGAGGATGTCTGTGGGGAGACATCTGATTCGTTCGGTCTGATGTACGCCAGACCAGGTGAAGGTGATATCGACGATGACGCGACGGCAATGGAGATGGAGACGCAGGTGGTTAGTGGCCTTTCCATGGACCATGAAGAATATGACGCCCACCACCTGGCCACGGCGGTGCATCCCCCCGACGGGTGCGACAGGGCTATCATGGCAGTGAGCCCGGCGAAAACGACTCGCCGTCTTAGTGTCAACGAGGTCATCCATAGCATACTGGGCGGCGTGCAAGCTAAAACACTTCTGTCCACCCCGTCAAAAGACGATGCCCTTCTCAGCAAAGAAACTTTCGCGGCCGGGGACTTGGCGCTCATCCAGTCGTGCTTTCCGGTACCCTGGTCACCACTCACAGGAGGAAGGGGGGGGGTTGTTGGGGCCGCCAGCACGTCACGTCCCCGAAAAAGTGCAGGGTAGGCACTCCGGCCCTGGCTGTCCTCGCCTTACCAGCGCCCACGTCGCCGACGAAGGAGCGGAAAGAAAAACAAGCTGGTAAGCATTGACAATCGTCGCGATGTCAGCACTCCCGCGTTTCGGGATTGTCGACGCTGTCTGTCAACCCCCTTGTCGTTTTATGCCCCACGTTAGATGGACAAAATTCCGCTTCACTTGTCAACGAGGACCAATTGGCCTCTTGTTCTTTAACACACCGTCACGCTTTATTCTGTGACCGCTCATCCGCTCCTCCCTCTACAAATCCTCTGTCGCTGTCTCGACTTGCTATCTCTGGCCGACACCTGTAGTGCGGATACTGGCGGACTACAAGACAGACCTTCCGATAAACGATTTTCGCAGCGACGAGCTTGTGTGCATTCGCACATAAAACGACGAGCGCAGTCTAGCCCGAGAACCCTGCACATGACGACGAAAGACCACATCACGCCAAAGAAGAGGAATGTTTACAAATGCCGAAGCTCGCATTTGCGGACTTGCAGCTACAACGAGCAGGTCAGGTCGCAGAACCGGGTTTGGTCCAGACACTGGAATTGCGGAAACCGTCGGAGAAACGGTAATACGGAAGGTCTGTTCTGAAGTCCGCCGGCATCCGAACTACAAGTGTCGGCGCGAGGTGGAGCACGCCCTGTTGGTCGGTGTTTGCGAACTGTGGCTGCAAGTCCACTGGAATCCACTGGAATCCGCACATCGGCAAATGCTGACTTTCCACCTCGCGCCCGCACTTGTATTGCGGATACCGGCGGACTAGAAAACATACCCTTCAAATTTTCGGTTTCCTCCGGTCACCGCAGTTCCAGTGTCAGGACCAAACCCGGCTGTTCCGTGTCTGCTAGTTGTAGCTGCAAGTCCGCCGAAATCCGAACTACAGCATTGGTAGGCGTTCCTCTTCTTTGGCCTGATGTGGTCTTCATCGTCATGTGCTGGGGTCTCGGGCTCGACAACGCTCGTCGTTTTATGTCCGAATGCACGCATGCTTGTGGGCTACATTATCTTTCACATTGTCACTTTCGTCGAACTCCTCCTGGGAATCATATATTCATTTCGGGTTCTGTCTGTTCTCTGTTTTACAGGGGTCCGGTCATCTCGAAAAAGGAGTTTCTCGAAATATGCGGCACGTGTATTGCAGAAACTTCCGAGATTCATGACAAGAAAGAAGAATATGTTAAAGGCATCAGGGGTTGATGTCGAGATTAGAGAGAAGGAGCATGCCTTAGCCATTGACAAATGTCTTTCCCTTCTAACTGCGGAGAAGGGGACATATCCACGATCTGTGACTAGGGTGAACGACAACCTTTAGAACTTCCTTTCTCACTTCCCCGCATGTGCGTTGGTCGATGATGTGCAGCTCGGGCCACAGCACCTGCAGCCTGGGGGGGGCATTTCGCTACGGCGATTGCGCCTCAAGTCTCGCGGGTTATGGACGATGTTTCTCGCAGCGTGGTGCCTCCTCATCATGTCCTCTCTTCCTTTGCGGATGATCAATTCAGAATCACGGCGAAAGATGTGTTCACCGTTTTGCAAGCCAATGGCAAGATCAACGATGAGGTGGTGAATTTCTACATGGCCCTTTTGGGGTCGACGACATCCGCGACACGTGCACGACCATCAGGCCTTCGAAGCTTCAGCTTCAATTCTTTCTTCTTCAGTATGCTGCAACTTCGAGGACACACTGGGGTGGAGAGGTAGGCTAAAAACGTTGATCTGCATCAGTTCGATATGATCTTCGTTCCGGTGCACAAACATAACGATCACAGGATCCTGCTTTCCGTTAATTTGAGAGACAATATCTTCGAAATTTTCGACTCTTTTCCTCGCGTTAAAGTCGATTCCAGTTTCTACCGTAGTGTTTTCGAGTTGATTGTACAGTATTTAGAACGTCATACCTCACATAGCCGGTCGGATAGGAGTTGGAAGACTATGGTCAGAAAAATTGTTGTGGAAGGAGTTCCAAGGCAAGTTGATGGAGCTAGTTGCGGGGTGTTCATGTTGACATTTGCAACGTTGTTGCAACGTAGTGATCGACCCCCTTTCAGATTCTCGAGTAAAAATTTGCCTGTTATTACACGACAACAGACAACATGTCTCTTGGAAGGACGTTGTCTTTGACAGTTTTCAACGACTTCTACAAAATTCTTTAAATTTATTTCATTCTATGGCAATTGTATTTGGTAACATACGACATTATTCACTTGTCTTTCTGAGTTCAACATTGTTTTCTTCATTGGGTCTGTTTCTTGTTGTCTTTGGGATGCTCGCTGTCGGTATGGGAGTGGTACTATTTTCGTGCAGTTCAACATTGTTTTCTTGTAGTTGGATGACTTTTTCATGTGTGGACTTCGTCACCTGAGTCTCTTGTCGTGCAGTGAAACAATTCGTGCTGCGCTCTATGATTTCTATTGCAAGTAAAACGCACAGGGCACCGACATCGAAAGTTCGGATATCGGCGGACTACAGCCTCTTCGCCCCCCCCGGCAACAATCTTATGTAGGTTGTGGTACATAAGATTGTTGTCGGGGGGGGGCGAAGAGGCTGTACTCCGCCGGCATCCGAACTTTCGATGTCGGTGCCTTGTGCGATTCACTTCCTCTGTATGTTGTGTGTGGAAAGCAAGGCATGAATATGGATTGCTGCCCCTTGCTTGTCACGACGGTTTGCAATTTTACTATTTGAAGGCATTTGTGTTCTCGCGTGTCTTTTAGCCCTTAAATGATGTTCTCTCACTCTCTTTTCATGCAGTGGAACAACTCGTGTTGCGCTCTATAATAATTATTGCATGTACGACAACCCACATAAGACTCTTGTCGGGGCGGGGGCGAAGAGGTTGTAGTCCGCCGATATCCGAAATTCCGATGACGGTGCTCGTTCGTTTTCACCTGTGCTCGTCGTTTTCTGCTTTTGCACTGCTCTTAGAATTAGTCCACTTGTGGAAACTTTTTTTGGGGTGCATGGCAGTTTTAGACACAGTCGCGGGCGTGAGATTCATCTTGCATTTCCACGTGCCGTCCGCGGTGCTGCTTGCGTTTCCGCGTGCCRTGAGTCGCCCCTGCRYCATCACGTAACGGCCTCGCTGGGAGCAACTCTATGAGGGCACTGGTTTCTCTGAATTCACCGCAGTGGTCGCCTGCTGTCCAACTGCCTGTTCCGCCCCACTGCTCGGGTGCACCCATAACTTTTTCCTGTTGGTTATTCCGCTGCRAGCRCGCRCCTGGYCTATATAGGCACGGGCGTGAGCTTACGCTACATCATTCACAAGCCATGTGTGAGAAACGTAAGGTTGGGGGTTCAAATCCCTTTTTCCGCTCGTATCACCGCAACGCGGCGCACTATGTGGCACCCATAAGTCCAGTGTCGGACATGAAGTCGTCCTGGATTAAGGTGGCCGGCCCCGATGCGGGCCGATGCACTATGTGGCACCCACACGCTGCTCTTATGGGGGATTGGGGGAAGGCTCAATCCCGGAGCAGTAAGCGCGGTAGTTCCCTTTTTCCCTTCCTCAGCTCTGCCCACCGGAAATTTCGACGTTCCAACATTCAAACACAACAAGAAGTCGACGTTATTGTGTTGCTGTGATTATCCATCAGTGGGGGTCGCAGGTTGTGCTGCTCAAGGGACCTTGCTCATCACGATCAGAAATAAGTATGGATCTCAGCACACTTATCAAACTTCTCCGACAAGGATACAATCAATGCGCCTTGCTCATCACAATCGAAAATAAGACTTAGTATGGATCTCAGCACACTTATCAAACTTCTCCGATAAGGACACAATCAAGGCGTCTTGCTCATCGGAATTATACATAAGTATGGATCTCGACACACTTCTGCATATCAGGCACACCTTGCTCATTATAAACAAGTATGGATCTCAGCACACTTCCGCATATGGGGCGAGTGGATGGGTGAGTGGATGGGTATGCCTACGTTGCTTAGGCTGCAGCTAAAACTGAATTCGTTCGAAAGAGGACACAATATAATGTCCTATTTTAACGAATAACGTATTACCCAGGCAACGCAACGTTGGCAAGCAAGGCCAAGTACGACTCCACCACCTCGTCGGAAAGCCATTTCCCTTGAACAATAGTTTGAAGACTTTTTTTGCTCAACGGAATTGAACTGACCCCTTTGCGAACCGAGGATATCACCACGTGGCCGTTGCTGAAATCTCCGCAGACGTTCCGCAACATTCTGAAGTCCGTAGCACTAAGCTCCTCAGTAGGCAACGGAACGCGGAAACATGATGTAGCCCCAACTGCACAAACACCCACGAACAAGTGTGAGGAGTGATCAAAATCACCGGGGCGAAATGGCTAAGAACCGTCCGCCTTTTTCCCAAAAAAGTTGTATCCCCGACCGTTGAATGTGTCCTTGGCGATGTACTTAGGACACGGGTCTTTTAAGACACCCCGTTTGGCATTGTCATCAGACCCATCAGACAAAGCAGTAACGCTTTCAATAGACGCAGCCAAATGTTTTCGCAAACCTTCCTCCTTATCTATTCCACAAGCCTTCAGAACCCTGACAACTCTCTGGGAAACGCGATGCATCTGGACCCTTTTAAACAACCCTACACTTGATGACTTCTTCGGTAAAGCGGCCAATGACCTCCCTGAAAGACATTTCTCGCTCACGGCTTTTACAGGCTTCATGGGTAGGGACATTGACAACCTCACACCTGTAGAACATAGAAAACAACCCACAACCCACAAGCTTTTTTTTAACAAGTGGTAAAAGGTACATTAGCCCATGACGTCAATTTGGACGAACACAGAGTTGGCTACTGACAGATATGCGAGTGCTCCTATTCACAAATCTTACCGTGCTCAGGAGCCCTTTGAGGGAACTCGCCCTCCTGTCGCGCCACTGCACCAACGTCCACGGACGATTCGACGTTCTGCACCTCGGCCACGACCGTGTCGCTAACCAGCTCGGTGGGAGCTGAGTCGCTTAGCAAGTCGATGGCTTCATGCAGCACCATTTCCCGACCGATACTGAGGACAAATGCTCGATCACCCTGTTCTGCACCGCAACGGGTGGACAGAGAATCATAATCTTTCCGCTACGGATCCATCTTGATGCTGACGGCCACCTCACCGCCTTCCACGGAGGATTCGACGTTCTGCATCTCGGCCACGCCTGAGTGGCTAACCAGCTCGGTGGCAGCCGAGTCGTCACCCAACTCTATGGCTTCATGAAGCACCATTCCCCGAGCGGTGCTTAGAATAGACGCTCGACCACCCTGTTCTTCACCGCAACGGGTGGGCGAAGAATCACCATCTTTCCGTTGTGGATCCGTCTGGATGCCGACAGTCACCTCACCGCCTTCCACCACGGGTTCTCCGTCTTTCTCATCGCCATGAACCCGAGCTTCCACTCCGTCTTCATCGTCGCCAAAAACGGGAGCTTGCACGAACGTCCACTGACCTCCCTTAACGACACCCTCTCGCGTCGTGGCCACAGCCGAACGACTTTGCAGAACGTCTTCGGACGTCCCGATCACCAGCGCTCGTGCGTGGAGCCCCTTCACGTCTTCCCGAGCCGGCCAGTGTCGAGTCTCCTCTCCCCGTTATAGAGCATGCGTTTCCCCAGGAGCTCCTGCACTCTTGCTGTCAGTGTTCACGAACGCACCCTCCGAAGCATGACGTTCACACTCGCTCTCCCGGTCTCCAACACTTTGCGAGACTGCCAGCGTTGAGTCTCCTCTTCCCGATGTACAGCATGCGTTCCCGGAGAGCGGTCCTCTTCCCCAGGAGTATGACGTTCGTACTCACCACCCCCGGTCTCCAACACTCCTGCAGCGGGCCCCTCCAGCACGTCGCGAGACCGCCAGTCTCGAGTCTCAACAGATGAGAACGGAAGTGAGCAGGATAACCCTGTGTCGAATTGAAGATGCGGGGGGCAGGACGTCACATTTTCTTGGCCCTCGGAACTGTTGCGTGAGGAGCACTTATGGCGGAGGGCGACGTCAGCAAATCCGAATGTATTCGGAGTTTGTGGCGGTCGCTCGAGCTGAGGGAACCGAAGGTCGCACCTTCGCTCCTTCGCAATGCAGGCATCCCGCCCTCCAGGCAAAACGAAGACTCGCCCTCTTTCAGGGGCAAGGTGTTGAGCATAGGAGACCTCTGTTGTGCACGGCGGGATGGACTCTCCTCGGCAAGGGGAAACAAAGTCCTCGCAGACAAGTGCGAATCTACTCGCACTTGATCAGACCTCAGGGTGGCCTCGTCTCACATGTCGGAATCTCGACTCCCTACGCAGTGGGGGTCAATTTCCATATACTGGGGACTCCTGGACGTTCTACGCTTTCCGCCCGACCCCTTCCCGCCCAACCCCTTTCCGCCCTACCCCTTCCTGCCAGACCCCTTTCCGCCCGAGTCCTTTCCACCTGACCCCTTTCCGTCGGACGCCTTCTCTACCGACGATGTCTCGCCTGTCCCCTTTCCGACAAATTGTGAGCTGTCTCCTCCGCCACCTCCGCCGTCTTCTTCGTCTCCTCCTCCACCCCCTCCCGGATGCTAACCGCCCGACGGAGGTTGCGGCATGCGCCAGTCAATGCCACAAGACGGTGCCGTTTCGGGTGTGTAGAAAGGCGCTCGAAACTCCAACATGTTGTTGGCGTACAACTCATTTAGCTTTTGTTCTGCATACGCAGTGACGTCCAGATCGTTCCTCTCGGGGTTCATAAGACTCAAATGCTCCACCAGAGCATGTCTCGCCGTTCTCTTAAATGCACCCGCTCCCAGTCTCTTCAGTCCACTCCACTTGCCATCGGCCTCCTTCATTGCCATGACCCACATTCCATTCTTCACAGCAGGTTGGAATATCCTCGGGTGCCAGACGACGTTGTGTCCCCAGACATCCTCCGACGTAAACCGGTGATGCTTGCCGAAGAAGTAGAGTCTGTCATTCTGCCAGGTGTCATGGTCCTTAGGGAACCTGTCACAAGGTTCATGATCATAGTCTCTCTCTTCCTCCCTGTCATCAGACGATTGGTCGTCCATTGGCTCGCCCCGAAACACACGCTTCAAACCGGCAGGGGACGTGCTATATCTCCGATGGCCACCTTCCTCTTCATCACCAACCTGTCCAACCACCCGAGGAAGTGGCATGGACTGGAAATCGAAGGTTTCGGAGTCGCTCAGCTCCTCCATGTCTTCAGCGTCGAAAGGGTCCTCCTCGTCAAACTGTGACTTGTAGTTTTCGAGGGTGAGCGGTTCGGCCAGCGTAAAGTAAATGTGCTCCAGCCTTCTCAGGAAATGCGAGACAGACTCCCTGGGTGCATTGTCGTACCCATTGAGCACACCGAACACCAGGTTTCTCCGTCGAATGTATTCGAGGTTGGTCGGACCAGGCGGTCCGGGTTGGAAAAGGAAGTCCCAAACCTCCGTCCTTTTGTTCCCCGACAATTTCCAATACATATCACGTTTGGGATCCCAGTTTCGTTCGCCGGTGGTCTGGACAAAATCGCAAGCATTGCGAGTGTCTGCAACGCGTGTCTTCACGAACTCGTGAAGGTAATCGATCATCTTCGCTTCCTTCTCCAACGCGACGACGTTCCGACCAGTGCGCAGGAGTTCCCACACGATTCACGCATGCGCCTTCCCAAAGAAAAAAACAGTTCGCCCAGCTTTGCAAAAGTTTTCGAGTAGACCGAGTAGACGGGATGGGTTACGCTCCATCTCCCCGTAAGCAGCTCCACTAACACTTGTCACGCCGCCGTCCTCCCACATGCTACGAGAGAACCTTTCCTCTTCCGCCACGTCGAAACACGCCACAGCCTGTTCTGATGGGTCCGACGAACAGACAACTTTCGAGCGGGCCGCCACCGTGTGTTTGGCCGGACTTGAACCATGAGCACGGGAAGCCTTTGTCGGGCTACTGGCCGGGTAGACTGCGAATGTGTTGTCTTCCAGCTTCTCGCCATTTAAAATCACGTATAGGCGGTCACACTCCTCAACCAGCATATTACCTTCCTGGACAGTGGCCTGCTTTTGTGCATTGCGCACCCACTTCCCTGTCCTGACGTGATGGACGCTAAGCCTGGCCATGCCTTTCAAGAAACTGAGCTCCCAACGAGAGGGGAAAAAGACCAGAAGTGCCCAGTGCGTTGGCGAAAGTGTTTGGAGAACGCCTTGCAAGTTGGCGAAATCGTCTTCTCGCCAGTCTGTGAGGAGTGTTGGGATCACACAAATCGAGGACGTACAGGTTGCACACGTAATGTTGCACAACCTCACGGATCGCAGTGACATGACTGTGAGCTTGGAAAGGCGGGAAAGCGAAAGGAACAAGTCTGGTCACCCGGTTGAGGTCGGGCCATTTGATGTGCCTCACATCCCCGCTAACCCTGATCATGTCTCGAACTTCTTCTTCCGTCCGTCACAAGATGGAACGGACAGACTTTTCGAAAGATTTAGGGAACCTGTCATCATCGTACAATCTCTTCGCGTCGTCGAGGGACTCCTTCTCGTGCGGAAGAGTACGTTTGCAAGTGTTCACGTACTCCACTGCACCCTGGAAATGCTTTCGCATTTAAACCCACACCTGTTTCATGAGGCCCTGTGGCCCGAACCCCTCCAGAAGTCGCCCCTCGGTACGGAAAAAAGGGTTCCAGGAGCGCCAAACACGTTCGTGCTCCTCCATTTCAAGGAACAAAATGTAGTGGAACATACGGAGCATCACACGGTCCACTTTCCTCGTCGCGACCATGTCTTTAATTCCAGGTTTATGCTGACGCCTCAGATGCCCGCCCGCAGATTGCACGAACACTGCCCTTAGAGCGAGAATGTCATCGAGGATCGACAATTTCTCGACATCGGTCATGTCGGCGAGACACTGCTAACAGAACATGTCTGGCTCCTTCACGACCACGAAAAACTTGTCGTCCGCTTGCGTTTTCTTTTTGGTCGGAGGTGGCGGGACCCGGACCAGCCACCCCATCTTCGTTTCACCAGTCGCCCCTTTCGAGCCCATTTCCGGAATTGCTTGCAGACCCGGAGATTTATCTGCCATGTATTTGCCCGGCCTCGACAATGGCGTCTTGCCGTCGCCGCCCAACAACTTTCCCTCCGCTCATTTCGCGTTGAACTCCATGGCTTTGCGGAAAACGTCATCACCGGCTATCACGAGCGGCATCCATTGCCTCAATGCATTGCCAACGGCAGCGACATACTCCTTGTCGGTGAGGGACGAATCTTTTTTTGCCAACGTCCAGTGAGCTTCGTTCGGACTCTTTCCCAAAAGCAGCTTTTGGAATTCGAAAAACTTTTGTTTTTCGGCCTCCTTGCCGGAAGGGTTCCCTTGAATGGCCATCGGCCTTCCTTCTTTCTCCCATGCCTCCCGCATGTCCAAGAACGTGGCCTTCTGCGATCGCTGCTTAGACATCTTGTGTCTCGTATTCTCGTTGAGACTGACCTGCCTATACCCCGCAAAATCTCGGTCGGAGAACCACACTACTCTCGTCGGCCACGAGTGCATCTTCCACAAATCGAATATTGGCTCACCCTTCAACTCCTTCACAGCAACCACGGTGTGTTGTCAATTAAGAGGGTAATAGTAGTACTTGTCCTTGTCCTCTGGCTTGAACACATCTTTGTGAACCCTGTCAGCTTTCTCCGGCCTACGCGTCACCGGCTTGTAAATGGGTGCCAGAACCAAAGGGTTTTTCGTCCAGATCTTCCCCTTTTTCTCGCGGAATTGACTCAGCATCGTTGCCTTGATGTCGTCCACAGTTTCGCGATTTAGACTGCGGTGGTTGTAATATCTTTCCCAAGGCGGGATGTCGCAGACCTTCCTGGGGTCGATGAGCAGTTGGACGGGGAGCTCCTTCTCCACGATTTCACCGCCATCAATCCGCTCGTATTCGAGCCAGAACGCTGCCGCTTCGTCGCACTCCTCACCGACAGGCCTTCGTCACCGCTCGCCGCCTCAGCAGTCTTCCGCCTTCGAGGTTTCTTCTGGCCATCGCCTTCTTCAGCTGCCACTTTCCGTTTCGATCTCCCCGAAGGTTCTCTCACGGCCGCAGCGCCTGGATTAACCGAATATCCTCCACCCATGGCTTGTCCTTCGCGGATGGTCAAACCGCTGGGCCTCCTCGCTTTCTTACTCGCCGTCTCACCCTCTTCCTTCCACGGCCTCTTTCCCGAGGCACGTTCTCCGACGTCACCTCCATCCCCGCCCATCACCGCCTCCGATTTTCCTCTCATCCTCTTCATGAGGAGGGTTTCCTCCGCCACCTCCTCTCGCACCATCCTCTGTCGCTCGCGCTTCTTCTCCGAAGGAGTCGGCTCCCCGCAAGAGCTTTCACGGACAGCGCCCATCCCTTCAGCCTCATTCCCTCCGACATCTTGCCCCGATCTGTCGGATTCTCTTCTCGTCTCATCTCGAAGCGAATACGTGTCGCCACCGCAGCGGACCTTAAGGAGTTTTGGAGTACCGACCCGTTGAGTCCCTGTACCCTGAGAATGCAAGTCTGACGTGTTCCCAGGAGCATCCGGGCCGACCTGCGTGTGAACGCTGCGCGCGAGCTCCTCGATCCGTCCCCCAGCGTCGCGAATCGCATGCCCACGCCCCACTACCGTCCCTGGAGTTTCTTGAGCCAAGCCGGAGGAACCCTCATGGGGTGGCAGAAGCCGAAAAACATATTCTCGCGGAAGAACCGGACGTTCTTTCGACACCATCAGCGCGAGATCGAGATATTGCTCTGGCGATGAAAGACTCTTGCTGCCTCCATCGTAAAGGCCTTTGAAGTGAGATCACAACGTCATGTTCGAGCCGTACCCCGTGAAACTCTTGATAGTCACCAGCACACCCTCAAAACCTCTGAGAGGCAGTGTGCACTTGTCGTACAAGCCGTTAGTGTGCAGCTTGAGCAAACCTCCAGGAGTCTTGGCGCATGAGACGATGGTACTGAGAGGAAGAACGTTGACCGCTCCCCCAGCGTATGGAACGCAAGTGGGTCGCATGAAAACAGCTGGCCGAAAAAGGTCCCCCTGAACAACGAAGTCAAAAAACCATTGTGCTCCCTTTGCGTGCATATACTGAGGAGTAGATTGCTGAAGTGGTCGTCCCTCTCGTAGATGGTCTAGTGCTTGTGGATGTGTTCTTTGCGGACGCCATTGTACTCCCACTCGTTGACTAATACGCCCAACCTCAGACCAACTTGGATGACTAATATGCCCAACCTCATACCATTACAGAAGCGAAGTGCGAACTAACTCGGACTTAACGAAATGGAGGACGAAAAGGACGTAAGAGATGGGTGTTCGAAATGCACACGAAGTCACAACAATCGGGTGAAGGATAGGAAAGACAGCAGTCCTCTGACAGAGTGAGTTCGGAAGGAAGACAACAGCTCCACGGAGAGAGTGCGAACAAGCTCGCTGTCGTAGAGTCGAGGAAGAGGTGATTTATCTTCAGGAAAGTGCGAACTAACTCAGAGTTTTGGGAATGAAGTCCTGTACAACAAGTACCGCATGGGTATCGACAAGGGGGAACCGACGTGCAGTTTTGGGCTGAAGGAAACCGAAGAATGAGATTCGTGTTTGAAATGCAAACGAATACAAAACAATTGGGTGGCTGGCAGAGTGAGTTCGGAGGGAAGACGACAACTCTTCGAAAAGATTGCGACCCGACTCGCTGCCCTCGAAACGAGTAAGATGTGGTTTATCGACAAGTGCGAAGGGTGTCGACAAGTGCGAACTAACTCACAGTTTTGTAGACAAGACAACAATGGCAACCCGC